CTTAATTCTGGGGAGTGATAAGCCATCAGGGTCATGGGGGGCAAAAAAGGTGGCATGTCCCAAAATAACCACAACATATTATTAGATGTGAAATAAAATTTTACTGTATTTTTGTAGGGAATAGAACTACATTCTGGAGTTTAGAGTATCTCAGACTCTCTTAAAAGTGAACGATATATGTTGTCTACGTATCATAGATTATTTCTAGGAATTTTGTAATTTCAAGGCCAACTCTAAGATCACAACCACACACCGGTATTGTGCCAGCATTTGACCCATTCACAGAAGACACCTTTGATTTCATCATGTGAGTGATCTCGCTTGCAAAGCATTTGGCCAGTTTCTCAACTGACCATTGGCCACTGACCATTTGTAAGGCGAGGCTTGGTCTGCCTGTTTTTTGGTAATAGCCTAGGACTGTCTGAAGAAATAAACTGTTTCTGTCACTTTTTCCTTTGCCCTAAATATAAGGAAGAAAGGAATCAACATTTGCATAAGTCACTATTCTGTACTTGGAACTGAAGGTGGATTTTGATTTAGGAGAAGATATAGGAGGGGTGAATTCTTCTTTTTATCTGAGCTCAGGGAACATTCACCTCCTGAGAGATGAATGGGGAATATTTTAAGTCAATTAATATATATTGAAGGCATATAAAACAATGATGTGTCTATTATTCAGCTGTCACTGAGAGGAAATTGACTGCAAATTTACTTTCTAGAGTTCAGAATTTATTCCTTTCTTCTGACTTTTCATGTATGCACTCTTTAAGATGAAAAGTAATTTCTACCAACTGCTGGATTATAAATTCAACCTGGAGTCTGATAATCAGATTCCACTTTTTCTCTCTTTTATCTCTCATCACCGATGATAAAGCTATGGCACTTGGAATTCAGCTGTGACAGTAGAGTTGATTAAGCTGAAGTTTAATTGGTTTTGCAGTGTTAGCAGAACCCAAATTTAATGGCTGATTTTTTCCCCCATAGGAAAATAAACCTCTGTGATTCACAGTCTCAGAGAACAGAATTCTGTTGATTATAAAAGTCTTTTTTATGGACAGTGAAGATTATTAGAATTTAAACTTCAAAGTTATTATTTTTTTCTGAACTTTTCAGAAGGCAAGAATTCTCTAAACTGTTGTTTAAACACATAAATATTTGAGGTAATGGGGTCAATGTTTTTAAAGGATTGAAAATCCATCAGTAATTTGAAGGAAGAACTTAGATTGACTTATAAGTAATGTTTACAATGTGTGTTCATGACAGTCATTTTATAGAGTTAGGTAAGAGCACAACTTATCACGGCAAGTCGTGCACCGAGAGAGTCACTGTAGCTGTGGATGGATGTTCTGGACCTCAGCTGAAGCTGCAGTGGGGCAGCATCCTCTCGTTACGGGAAAACCAAAGTATTCCTTGTGGTGATTGGAGTGAGCAAGCACCAGAACGCGAGGACGTGACATGAGAAAAGGTTTCTCTGACGGGCTTTCAACTTGCTGTGATTTTGTTCCCCTGTCTCTCTGTGGAGTGCGTTGGCAGGACCTTGCCCCAAACTGAGAGGCAGTTTCATCCAGTCTTGTCATTCCAGAGTCATTAGAGCTATCCAGTTTGACTAGGTTTTCTGTGATTTCAGATGAAAAGCTAAAAGAAATGGGTCTGTAAAATTATTTTTAAGGACAAAGGCTTAATTATGGTAACTCAGCTTCTGTTTGTACCTAGAACTTGATCTGAGTACAAATTGAAGCTGGCTCAAAGCTGATGACAATTCATCTTCGAGCCATTCTATGGATAGGAAACCCATAACCAATAGGGCATAATGAATAAGACCATCTCACTTTCCATTTTGGTGTGAATAAGGAGCAGTTATGAAGCACATCCCCACCATCACCTGTTTCTGAGGATGGTAGCAAAATTGTCCATACTTCTAAAAAGGTTATGTAATTTCATGTCTTCAATGCTGTTCCCTAAAATCAAATTATATAGTCACAGTATAGACTGGATATGTGTTCCCTAACCTCATTTATGGGTGAGGATGTCTTTGTTCAGTGTAGTAAGAAACCTGGGTAGCTCAATTCTTGCTCCAAAAGCTAGGAACTAACAAGGAATCTCAGACATGAGGCCCCGGAGCAAGTGGAAGGAACCTTCTGAAAGTTCAATTAGCCGTAAATTCTGAGCGCTGTTATACAGGGCGCACTCAAAATGTAGTAGAGTATAAAAACCATTAAAAAATAAGTGTGCCGTCAAACCCTGCATTCCAAGCACTTTCATTTTTCTGTCAAAGAAAAGCTAATTTGTGGGTAAAATGTGTATTTAAAAACTGTAAGTATTAGTTTTTAAAAGGAAAACATTGAAGTCTCATAATACCTCAAGGATTAAGAATCTTACTCTTTTCAAGTAAACTCTAGTCTCTTAGATTTGAAATGTATAACTCAATGACGGAATTTATGTTGTTAATATTATAATTGAAGTAAAAATTTATGTTGACAGAGGTTTCTGTGATCATCCTTTATGACTGTTTCCCATACAATTCACTTCAGGACACACAAATGAACCAAAAGAAGAAATAGAACAAGAACCCAGGACTCCAGATTTCTCAGGGAAAAAAACAAAAACAAAAACAATTATTGCTCATTTATTCTATGTAGACACTGGTGGGAAGTGGGTATACTTCACCCTGGATGAGAACATTCAGTTACTGATGTACAATGTTATCTGTTTCTTATTTTAGGGGCAGCTGTTATCAACTTTGATGGCCATGTTGTGTTACCATATAGATTCAGAAACAAGAAGATGAAAACACTGAAAGATGTCATTGCCTTGAAATTTAAAACCACTGAAAGCGAAGGTGTGATCTTGCACGGAGAAGGACAGCAAGGGGATTACGTCACTTTGGAACTGAAAAAAGCTAAGCTGGTCTTCAGTTTAAACCTCGGTACGTTCTGACTATTGACATTGTTCTTTCCGTTTGTGTCTATTCCTGTTGGTGAAATGCTAATGTTTAATCCTTTAAATTATAAAAGTGCCCACATTGTTATCAATTTATTTTTACTCCATGGTGGTTGGTACATGTTGATATACTTATTCATTCAGAAAGCATTTATTAAACACCTGAGCCGTGAAGGTGTGTTCTATTATAGCACCTGGGAACATTGGTGAAAACACAGACAAGGTCCTTGAGTTCACGAAGCTTATGACATAGTGGGGAGTCCAACATTATATTTTCTATTATTATTTTAAAACAACTGAATAAAAAAAATGACTTCAAATAATGGTAGGTGCAGTGGATCCTTGAACAACACGGAAGTTAGAGGCTCCAAAATCCCCCTTCCATAGTAAAAAATCCATGTATAACTTTAGATTCTGTAGTTGGCTCTTTGCGTCTCCAAATGTAATCAACCATGAATCGAAAAGACTGTTTTCTGTCCAAGGCAGGGAATCTGAGTTGGGGAATGCAAAACTTTGTTTTCAGTCCATGGTTGGTTGAGTTCA